AGTGAAGTGATGTAGCTGTGTTGCTTTTGTTTGGACGCTGCTGCTGGGGTGCTTAATTTTTTTTTGGTCATGGTTTCGTTGGTTCTTCTTCTGTTTGTTTCGGAATGAGGTTTACCTCCACGATACTGCCCTCTGGCTGCTGTTGGGAGGAATATGAAAAGTTGCAGCATCACGGTTCATAACAACTCGTGAATGGATGAGTCGTACTCGTACACTACTACTGTTTCGAAAGAAACCGAAGGGAATAGAAGAGGGCAGCGGAATTAAATGATTTCTTGTGTAAAAAATAAATGAAATAAGGAGCAGCAAAAGTGGGGATAAGGATCGGCGTGCAGGGCTGCGCTAATCGTATGCAATGCAGGTCGGGTGGTGCAGTGTGGGCGATTCAGCTTCGCGGAAATGTGCGCGAGGATACCTTCGCAAGGGCCGCCCGCCTCCATTGAGAACCCTCGGGCGGCGGTATTGTATCAAGGCTTGTCGATGCGACTTTTTGCCCCCCCCCCTCTCTCTCTCTTTCTCTCTATTTGGTTGCGTTTGTCGTGTTTGTGCTGACGCTTGCGCTTGTGTGTTGCAGATGATGCCGGCGAGAGATCGCAGGAGGCAGACGACGAAGGAATCGAGAGGGATTCCTGCGAGAGTGAGAATGACGAGGACGCCCTGGGGGTGGTAATAAAGGTACCGTCTAAAAAAGTTTAAAACAAATTATTATTTAGCGTTGACTATTTTGTGATTTGGGCTAATAAGAATGTATTTTAACTTTTAAGTTAGTAGCTTTATTAGTTTAAAAGGGGTTAAAAGCTAAAATATTTGTTTGAGTTAGCTGAACGATTACAACAGATTGTCTGGTGTGATTGCGGTTAAACTTCTCGTTAGCAGTGTAGTAACGCACAGACCGCAGCGCTCTTTGCGGCTTGATAGAGACATTACATTATGATTGGCGTGGTGTCGGTTCTGTCGCTTCTCCCCGGCATGCAATCCAAGAGATCTGCGGCCTGTATTTAGTATAGCCAATGGTCTTACCAGGCAATATCATTTTCTCAAATGACACAGTAAAATTATTTTATGCTAACGTGTACTTTGTTCTTTAAATTCTACAAAATCAATTTTTATGGTAGTCTTT